GATTTTATTTATTTATTTGACAGAGAGAAAGATAGCGAGAGCAGGAACACAAGCAGGGGGAGTGGGAGAGGGAGAAGCAAGCTTCCCGCTGAGCAGGGAGTCCGATACGGGGCTTGATCCCAGGACCCCGGGATCATGACCTGAGCCGAAGGCAGACGCTTAACGACTGAGCCACCCAGTCGCCTTGTGTTCCCTCTCTTGCTGTGTCTCTGTCAGATAAATAAATAAAATCTTAAAAAAAAAAAAAAAAATTCTAGTTCAAGGATTTCTATCTTAAGGAAACTTTCCCAAATTTTGCCCCCAACTGGATGGGATGTCATCATCCTGTACATCTCCGCAGTCTTCAGTTCAATCTCTAAAATGGATTGAACAGGGGCGCCTGGGTGGCTCAGTCGTTAAGCGTCTGCCATTGGCTCAGGTCATAATCCTAGGGTCCTGGGATCGAGCCCCGCATCGGGCTCCCTGCTCCGCAGGAAGCCTGCTTCTCCCTCTCCCTCTCCCCCTGCTCGTGTTCCCTGTCTCGCTGTCTCTGTCAAATAAATAAAATCTTTTAAGAAAGTAAAAAAATAAAATGGATTGAACAGATTATTCCACCTGGTATTAATAATAACAATTAACAGTAACTAACATTAACTGAGAACTTCATCTGTACAAAATATTAATTTTGTATGCAAATTACTCACTGAATTCTCAAAATCTTTTAGGATAAATACTACAGTTGTAACTATGCTAAAGCTGAGGACACTGAGGTTCACAGGCTCTCAATGGCTGTCCAGCTCCTGGAGCTGGTACAAGCCATCTCACTCCAGAGCCCACTCCCTTAACCCCCGTGTGGACGTACTCAGTCATGTCTCCGTGCACTACCAGAGAGTAAGCAACTTGAGGTTCTCGGTCTAGCGTATAAAACAACTTTATATTCCCACAGGACAAGGTTTGCATATTACAAATGCTCACCAAATATTTAATAAAAGAATGAGCAAATGAATTAGTAGAAGTGGTATTATCCTTTATAGGTACTATACGCACAATTAAACAGGCCTCTCATAGAGCTTACTGCAGAGAGTGGTTCCAGGGATGTGAATTTCAGACAGTGATGGGGGAGCTACCTTCTTGAGCAGCTGGGTAGGACGTGCCCCGCAGAGGGTCTCCTGCACAGTTAAGGGCAACACCCAGATGCAGCACCATGCTGGGGGACTGCCAGGGCGTTCCGAAAGGAAGCAGAGCAACACCAAACCACAGTCAGATGTGGGAGCTACATGCCGAGTCTGCATACAAGCCTCTCCCCCAGTCTACTCTATCCAGCTAGGTCCCAGCCAGCAGAACCTCTAGAAAAAACTTTCTTTAGTCTCAGCAACATCCTACTCTGATGATACTCAAGTGTCATAGCTGAGCTTTAAAGGAGGTAAGAAGGTGACCAGACTTTGACACCACCAAGGGAGGAGTACCCTTCCCATCTCGTAGTGGAAACTGTTACGGTACATAAATACAACTCTAACTTCCAATACCTTGGAAGTCGCTCTACTTCTTTCCCTTTTATTTTCAGTGCTTTAAAATTTCTCTCCCAATCATGGACGGTAGAAAGATGCTTTTCCACTAGAGCTTCCATATCAACTTGCCCAATTACAATCCATTCCTATTTAAAGAATGAAAAACATTATTAGTAAAGAAACTGTACTAATATATTAACATTTAAAAGCTTAGGGTCCAACTACTAACACTGATAAAAAGGGACAAATGTAAGGTATTCATGTAAATTTCAACTTAAGTATGCAAATAAAGGCATTACTGCAGAGCCTAAAGAATGAACAGAGGAAAAAAACTATTTAATATAAAAAAGTACTGGGATCATAAAGCTTTTCTTAAGAGATCGCAAAAACCCTTTTTTTAAGATTCTCTTCTCAAATTTGATGTATACACAGACTCACTTTGGCAAAGCCAACACTCCAAATCTGAAAGTATCCAGATCCAGTCAATTCTAGAAACCTAAACTATAGAAGAAGCATCACAAAGGCAGTTAAGAAACTGGTTGAATTCTCAGTCATCTGTCTCGGGAGCAACAAAAACGGTGAATGAGCAAGGAATGCAGCTGGGGAGTATCTCTGGAAGGCTGGTAGGATTCACTCAAACAAAAGTCAAAAGTTACATCATCTTAATGACATTGCTTCACTCGAAGCTTTGCTCTCGATCCAAAGCATGAAGAAAAGGATATATTTTCCTAGGAGGAATTAAAATTGACATGACAGAATCCTGTCCCATTCCATGTTGATGCAACACCTAGTTTCTCAATTTGCAAATAGTCAAAGACAAAAAAAATCTTAGTATAACTTTTTTCTCATCTGTGGTATAACCGTAGGTTGTATAAGAATCCTCAACTCTGACTCTCTGCCTTCCCGTATTTTTATATTACGACACACAAGATAAACTGTAGATTGCACATTTAATACTGATTCAATCAACCAGATGAAATGTTACAATAACAGAAAATTACATGTTCCATACCTTATGTTGTTGTAAAACAGCTGATAATCTCCTAAACAGATCTTCAGCTTTGCTGAAAATAGTCAAAAATCCACTTGCATTTCTATCAATCATAACAGAAAAAATAGACTCATCGCCGGCCTCACCCACTCCCTTAAACTGATTGGGAATGCCGATGAACCTCTTCATTTCTCTGTAATATTTAGCCCGGATTTCTTCAAAAGGAGGCCTGAACTGTAACCGTCCCTGTCTAAAAACAAGTAAATAACTTTGAAGTAGAGGTATCAGAACACCGCAGACCGCGAACGAACCCGGGCCTCACCCTTACTTGTAGGTCAGGTCCACGCGGATCTCGGGCAGGTGCTCGCTGAGAGCCTCCAGGCCAACCTGGTACTGATGTTCCAGAGCTTTGTACAGCTGGTGGTTCAGGTGCTGCCTCCACGCAATCATGTCACTCGCCTGGAACCCCTGACACGGTTTAGCCACAGCTTTTACTTAAAAACCAGGTAGTAGAAGGCAGTTTCCATTTAAAGTTTATATCACAAAATAAAATTATAAGCAAAAACCAAACCAAACCCCTCATTCTCAACGTCTTCCAGCACGCAACTCCGTGGCTGCTACGCGTGGTGAGGCAGTTCACGGAGTCAGACGTGGACGTCTCTCGGCTCCTCAATACTACACTAAAGCTCCGCAAAACTGGACACATTGACTTAATGCCAAATGGATTTTACATGGGGACTGTATTTTATGATGCTAAAAAAAATACAGTAACAGAAGCTGGCTTATTTTATGAACTTCTTGGTCCTCTTGCTAAAATTCCCATCAAGTACAGCTCTTCTCTTCCCTTTCCACTTCCTAAATACTCCATTGCACATTTTTAAGAAAATGATAAATTTAAAATATGAGGATGCTCAGGACAGTTTACACACTCTTTTGCCTCCATATAACCATAAATATCTTCATTCTAATACTTTAATTTTTGTTTTTTCTTCAAGATCTGAGAACTGAAAAATGCATGTACTTATGCGGGACACCAAACTCATACTCAGCTAGGATCCCACTACCACCCACCACGCAGCGGGCTCTGTGCTAACCACTCTCATACACATCATCGCATATCAAGATGTGCATAGAACTGAAATTTTACCCAAAAAAAGGGAAAATATACTTAAAGAGCTATTTCAATTATTAGGCTTCTGCCTAAACTCAGCTTTGTGTTCTATGGATGTCACGATCACCTAAAAGCAAACTAAGGAATGATAAAATTTAAGCACCAAGTCAGAGAAAATACAGAGTCTGAACTGAGAAATTTGACATTTCATAAGACAAATAGAAACTTCTTTTTTATCTATTGCCAATTTGTGGTCTTTGCATGTAATTCAGTAGAATTCTAAATTAGGAATTCATTAAAGTTTTTTCATCAATTTACAGATTCACATTCTGAAAAGGTGATACTCGAAGTGTAGACACCAAGTAAAGCATACTTCACCTGAGCTTCTACACTGGCTAAGCCAGTTCTCAATTCTTGTAATCCATCTTTCCAACGCTGTTGCTGCCGAAGCAGATCAATATTCATAAGAACTACCACCTGTCAAAAATTAAAGCATAATAGTCTCATAGTATCCCTGGAAGAAGAGTAACTTTTCAGTGGAAAAACCTGACAGACAGCACCTTAACCAAGTGATCAAGTTAGCTCAACCTATAATAAGACACACGAAGACCTGACTGGCACCCTGACAAAGACAAAACAGCAACACCGTAAGATTTCTGTCAAAACTGCATCACCCCAATCTGATGAGAAAACATGGAGAGGCAGTCCACAAACAACTACAATATCAAGGTCATGAAACAAAGGAAAGCCTGAGGAGGAGGGGCCTGCAGAGCGTCTGGGACTCAATGCAAGGCAGGATCCTGAAAAGGGCATGGGCGAGGAAGCTGGAAAATTCAAAGCCATCCTTCCCAGTTTTGATAAACGCACTACGGTGATACAAGTTGCTAACAACAGAGGAGTCGAAGGGAAGTGTGAACTCCTTACTATTTCTGCAACTTTAAATCTGTTAGGTAATTAGACTTAAAATAAAAAGTATTTAAGATCATATCCCAATTATCACTTAAATAAACATAGTCATAGCCTATGCAACACTATAAATAAGACATACCTTCTCACAAAACGTAGTGTGCCATTTTCTCAGTTTTCTATTTTCGGTGGCAAGTCGCTGAGCAGCATTTTGGAGTTTTTGGATGTAGCCTTCTAATTCTTTAGGATTATCCCAAGTAATCTGTGACTTTCCCCCACTTCCTGCTTTTGAATTCTAAGGTACAACAAACATCATTTAGCATTTAAATGCATTTCTCATTTCCTAAAGACGCAACAGACATCTTAAGTCCAGTTATCCCTAACGGTGATCTGCAATAAAAAAGCATATAGTAATTTTTCCTTTTTATAAATGGTAAGGCAGTCTAGCAAAATTGAATAGCCCCATCCTTTCCAAGTTCTCCTCTTACAGTGAAACAACCCTAGATGACACCACACACACACACACACACAGGAGCCGAAGGAGACAGACAACCTGGAGGCCTGGGGAACTGAGCAAACACAGCCACACGCTTCCTTACTGTCTCCCAAATATGCAGGACGGGCCAGGGGACAAGCCTCCACCCTGGAGCTACCTCCAGGAATGAACACACACACACAGCTACAGAAGAAGCCTGTTCCCTCTAGCCAATGGACTAGGAAAACAGTGGCCTAACAAAAGAAAACCTTTTTAGCAAACCCGCCCTACTGTGGCCAAACATGGATAGAAAAACCACCGCTCTGCAGAGAGCCAACCTTCCATCCATTGCTTGTCCAAAGCAGGCTGTGCTCCAAGTCCCCCGCCAAGGTAACACTGGTGGGGCTGAAGAGCCAGCGGGGCCTCACCGCCACCCCCCCGCCCCCATCTGCTGCAAAAGAGCCGCAAGCCAGCCCCGTGCTTCCTCACAGCCATATTAACAGGGCTCAGGAAGGAACTGAGGGGCGACAGGGCACTGCGAGCTGCCGGCGAGGCCAGAGGGGACACTGAGCTCCTGCTCCCCTTGTCAGAGGCAGCGCAAGGCCATGCTTCACCATCATCGGCGTGGTACCTGCAAGGCCCAGCAGAACACCGAGCACACACACTCACCCAGTCCAGTCCTCACGCTACAGTTCACTCTTTCAGAGAGAAACAATGCGCTACACAGAAGGGACCACCAACTCAACCCGCAGTGAATCCCCAGCTAAGACCACAAAGCCAGGAACACATGGAACCACATTCTTCAAGTGTTGAAGGACCTGCCAACCATGAATTTTGTACCTGGTGAAACATCCTTCAGGAAAGAGGGGGAATAAAAACATTCTCAGAAAAGGAAAACCAGGAGAATTTGTCTCCAGCAAACATGCTCTTAAAGCCTGGCCAAAGGCAGTCCTCTCAGAAGAACTTCAAAAAGCAAAGGAAAACACTGGGATGAGGAAAATAAAGTATCCTTCTTCTCGTGAATTTCTTAAATCCTATTCGATGAAGTGAGTGTAGAAGATACTACACACTTAGGACAAATACATAAAAACTAGGGCGGGATGCAGGAGACCCTCACTCAATAGCTGAAAAATGTATGAAACTAACAAGGATAACAAATCCAACAGAATCCTCTGTGGATCAGCTGAAAAAGCATTTGCCTAGTAATTACCACACGCAACTTCCTGCTGTTATTACTAGACATTGTGAAATTAGTTAAACTAGAGGCCCTGCTCTCCAATGCAGTGAGTGGCCAGGGGACCAAGAAGAACCTCCATGTTCTTTGTCCTTCTTAGTTTCTATCTACTCTTCAGTCTCATTTAACAGATGCTAAATGCAATTATTTACTTCTCACAACCCAATCTCTCACGGAAGTATCAACAGATGCCACTGATTAGAGAAGAAAGAGTTCCGAAAGTACACAATTAAACACTACCTATTAGGTGGAAAATAATAAAATTTTATCCCACTTCCAAAACTGCACTTGTAAATATGCCCAGAAAAAAAGTTTAAGGGTATATACCGGACTATTAACAATGGCCATCCCTTGGTGGTACAATTTTAAAACAATTTTTTTTTTCTGTTTGTCAATTTTTTTTTTTACTTTCCATTATAAACTCGTATTGAGCTTTGGCAATAAAAAACATATTTTTAATAAAATTTATGAGTTATGTGCCTTGTTGGAAACGTTCAGCCTGAGACCTGGTGTGCAGAAGAGTCAGCGGAGCAGGTCTACATGCTATCCCTCCAAAGGCCTGCTACCAACACAGACCCTTAGCTGGCACCTGAGCCCCGCACCTAGGAGCTCCCCCGCCGCCCACGTTTACGACTGGCTCGCTGCACCAAAACAACATGGTTTACACTCAACACTGGATCCCCTCCTGGGAACCTGGAATTTTAGTACATGTTAGGCAGAAGACGCCTCCGTGTCTAGATCCCAGTAAACGCCTGGGCACCGAGTCGCTAATGGTCTTCCCAGTAAGACACCATTTCACACTTATTACGGCTTGTTGCTGGGGGGGTTGGGGGAGGGGTGGTGAAGAATGCCCTGTGTGACTCGACTGGGAGGGACTCTTGAGAGCTTGCGCCTGGTTTCCCCAAGACCTCACCCTCATTTACCTTTCCCTGTGCTGACTCTGCTCTGCATCCTCTTGCTATAACAGATCATAATAAATCAGCTGTGGGGACAACTATACCCTGAGTCCTATCAGTCCTCCTAGAAAATCCCAGAACCTGGGGGTAGTCTTGAGGAAGATCACAACTAGCAATCCACTTTATTATTTTTTTTTAAAGATTTTATTTATTTATTTGAGACAGAATGAGAGAGAGAGAGAGCTCATGAGAGGGGGGAGGGTCAGAGGGAAAAGCAGGCTCCCCGCCGAGCAAGGAGCCCGACGCGGGACTCGATCCCGGGACTCCAGGATCATGACCTGAGCCGAAGGCAGTCGCCCAACCGACTGAGCCACCCAGGCGCCCCTAGCAATCCACTTTAAAAAGAACAAGAAGAAAAGGGTATATTCCTCTGCTACTTATTTTTTTAAAAATTTTATGTTTAAGACAAAAAATGTAGATTTCAAAAAGCCACCAGTCACATAGTAACAGTTTTTCTAATGCCAAATGGGTTAGATACGGCCACATAGATAAAAAAATAAATAAATACCAAATTATAAAATCAGGAGATGATGGAAAAGCACTCAAGACTCTGGTATATAAGGACCTCATGTTTCAGCAAATAAGTAAATATAACAGCACAACAACTGTATACTATAAATATGAAATCAAATGATCAAACTCAGCACCTTAATATGTAAAACACTAACCATTTAAATCTACAGTTGGAAAAATGTTACTTGTTAAGAGTGAAGAAGTCACTGGGAAACAAAACAAAGCCTTAGATCAACGTTAAGTGGAAGGGTATACTAAAAAACTAAAAAAAGAAATACCTCACATGTAAATTCTAATTCTAACAACACAAAAAGTCCATTTACCTTAATTATCTGTTCAAATGCTAATGCAGACTGTAGCATCATTGGTCTCTGACTTTGAATCATTTGTTGATCAATAGAATTGTAAAAATGTGCCACCTACAAAGTAGAAGTCCAATTAGCAATAATCAATAATAAATAACACACTTAATTTTTCATTTGTTGTTTTTTTTTTTTAAGATTTTATTTATTTATTTGAGAGAGAGAATGAGATAGAGAGAGCATGAGAGGGGGGAAGGTCAGAGGGAGAAGCAGACTCCCTGACGAACAGAGAGCCTGATGCTGGACTCGATCCCGGGACTCCAGGATCCTGACCTGAGCCGAAGGCAGTTGCTTAACCAACTGAGCCACCCAGGCGCCCTGTTTTCATTTTTAATTTAGTGGAAATATTAACTCTTCTCATGCTAAGATTTAACAAAAAATGTTTCTCATCTCTAATATAGCATTACGCATGTATTAATATACGCAGTCAACAATTATGTGTTGAGTTCCTGTAATTTGCCAAATCATGTCCTGGGGGCTGATTAAACAAAGACCATAAAACCCAGTCCCTGCAATCAAGAAGTTCACAATATCAAGGGAAATACAGAGGAAACCAGTAAAGCATGCTAAAAATGGAACCCTTCGTTCTTACAACTCTCCAAACCTGCTCCTTCCTTTCTCAGTACATAACACGTAATTTATTCATTTCTCAGACCAAAAAAACTTTGAGTTGTCCTTCACTTTTCTTTCACATCCCACATCCATGATGTCTACTGACTACACTCTTAAATACATACTAAACCCAGCCATGTCGCCCGCCTCCATGGGTCCCACACCAGTCCAAGCAGCCTCGTCTCTTGACAAGACCAGTGCCTGTTTCCAGTCATGGCTTCCTACTGTCCTCTCAAAGCATTCAAAGAAGCCCGAACGGTCCTTCCTTAAACAGAAATCATACCATACCTGTGCCCACTCAAAAACTTCCAGTGACTCCCCAGTGGATTTAAGAATAAAATCCAAAATCCCAAAACTCTTACCTAAAATCTCCCAATGGCTTCCCAATATAGTCAGGAATAAAATCCAAATCCAAGACCCACGGCCCTCCCCCAGCACCAGCATCTTACATCAACTGGCGTCAGCCCCAGCACAAACCCTCAGTGCATGGCACCCAGGCTGGCCTCCCTGCTGCGTCTCTAGGCCACCAAGGGAGTCTTGCCTCAGGAACTCGGCACGGAATCTGTTCCCTCCACACACACGTCTTCCCCCAGACGCCTGCGGGGGAAGGCGTTGTTCTGCTGCCACTCTGTCGCTCCTCTTCTCAGTGTTATAGCCTTCACCAAGGCCTACCCTGACCACTCTGTATCTTCCTCTGTTTTCTTTTTCTTCAAAGCACTCATCACTACCTAAAACTACCGACCTGTGTGTCTGCGATCTCCCAAATTAGAAGGACAGCTTCAGGAACAGTGTCTAGCAGGTAGAAGGCACACAGTATTACTTGGATTAATCAGTAAATCAAAAAACAGAAGTACCTCCACGGTACAGTGATGAACAAAAGAGGCCACTGTCAACTCTGTTAGGGGAAAAGGAGAAGTTCAGGGAAGTGGATCAAGTGGACACCACAGTGTGAGTCTAAAGAGTTTAAAAAGACTGTCTTTTAATCTTTGTATCCCTAGCACCTCACAAAATTCTTAGCCCAGGGTATGTGCTTAAAATATATGTCCTCACTGGAGCGCCTGGGTGTCTCAGTCGGTTTAGCATCCCATTCTTGATTTCAGCTCAAGTCATGGTCTCAGGGTTGTGAGATCGAGCTCCGCATCAGGCTCACGTGCTGGGTGTGGAGCCTACTTAAGATCCTCCCCCTCCCTCTCCCTCTCCCTCTGGGAGGGGCATCTCTCTCTCTCTTAGGGGGAAAAAAAAAAATTCCTAACTGATTTTACAGAGAGCCCTCTTCTTTCCACTAGTACATATGAAAATCTCTTTATTTGGTAGAGAATATCCACTGTACTATTCTGTACCACAGTAGTAGTCCAAGAAAAAGCCTAATCAAGAAAACCAGAAGCAGAAGAATACATACTCTTCCAGCAATCTGGTCTTACTACTATCTAACCAGCTCCTACTTCACCTCCCTATGCCAGCTACACACCCGCTCGTAAGTAAAGGTTTACGTAAATAGATTCCCTCGGGGAAAGACAAAACTGTATGACCATTCCTTCACCGTTTGAGTTCCTATTGCGTTACACTAAGTACACAGGATACAAAAGTGAGCAAGCCTCTCTGCTTTTAAGGATGCAGTCCCTCTATGTGATATGCTCACCCACCCTACCCCTTGTGCTCCTGAGACAACATATGTCTAATCTTCCAGTCTCACACCAAACAGCATTCCTCTGTAAAGATTTAGCTGATACTCCCTCTACCCTCACCCAGCAAATAACTGAAAATTCCCACCTCTATGCTTTCATAGCACTTCCAAAAATCTCTAATAAAATACTCATAATAAATTAAATATTTTATCAATTTTTCAAGTATCTGTCACCAGTATATAAACTGTAATGGAATAAATATGGGCTTTGGAGTCAGATTTGGGATCAAATCCCAGCTACATAACTTATAGCTGTGTGGCACCAGAAAAGCTATGTTACGAATCTGATCCCCAATTCGATCAGTGAAAAATAGGGAGTGGGGGGTTGAATGGAAATAACATAAATAATCTATCCTCCAGAAGCCCTGATATTTAATGAGAACTCAATGTTTACTTTGCTCTCCCTGCTAGACCAGTGGTTCTCAACCATGGCTGATTTGCACCCAAGGGGACATTTGGCAATGACTGGAGACACTTTTGACTGTCAGGAGCAGACAGGTGCTCCTGCCCAGGGATGCTGCTAAAACATCCTACAACGCACATGACAGTCCCCAGGAAAAAGAACTGGTCCAAAATGTCCACAGTGCCGAGCCTGAGAACCATGTGCCAGAATATGATATAGCAGTATATTCATTTTTATATCCCCACTATGCTGTGCCTGACAGTGCAGGTGCTCAAAGAATCTCTGCTGAAAGAATAAACAAGAGACCGAGATACACAAGACACTGCCCCTGCCTCTAAGATACTATTCCTGCCCACCACGATCTATTAATCAAGTGAGAGAAAAGATGAAAAAAACCCAGTACTCCATAAAGCATTCGAGAGTGATCTGCACACTGCATACAGAACAGGAAACAATCAACTAAAGAAAGACACACAAGAAAGGACTTATGAGTGGGGAATTAAAGGATGACTTTGAGTTTTCTAATAAGAGGGGACAGAGATCCGTGCATGGAGACACATTCAGAGGGTAGGGAGTGGAAGCCACAGCTGATTAGGTTAGTTAGAGCATGATTAAGAAGGGCCTTGTGTTCTGCCCTAAGGAGACAGACAATGTGGCCATAATAGTTGGTTCTAAATAGAAAAATGATATGATGGCAAAGTGGTGAACAGCTAGACCTATGAAATGACCAAAAATAGTGATCAGCCCATCAGCCTGGTAATTCTCTAAGAATCTGCCCCTCGAAGGCAAGCAAAAGACAGAGGGCCCTTTGACTAGAAGGTCCTTTAAGATCCATGCATTCAACATGAAAGAAAAAGGAAAAAAAGAGATATAACAGTTTATTTTTCCAAATGCTTTTAGAATGAATAACAGTAACAATCATACCATAAATTAATGAATTCCTATATAGATTTGCAAAGTAAATTTTGTAATGTAGTCATTTAGCAAACCATAATTTCCAAAGACTTGTGCTATTCTGTTAGCCTAAAAAACTCAAATTTAGAAAACGAACCCCTTAAAATATTGTAATGTAATGAACTCAGAATAGTCATATATTCAAAAATATAATGTCATACTTGTTTAAGAATAATTGCTTGCTTGCAGAATTTCTGTGCAATGTTTGCAACTTGCTGTATTTTGGCAGGAATAACAAAGCCAAGTGCAGAGAGCTGACGAACTTCTCTCAGAAGAATCACCAACCTATCTGAATAATGCACTCTTAATGATCCGTCGTTAGGATCCAATTCCATAATTCGACTATTAGCCTCGATACTACAAAATAAAATAAATAACTTTTTAAAATTCATGTTCTCACTCTTTTGACAGATGAAAAATCAAAGTTTTTACAACTTTTCTGTAAATATAAAATTAACTCAAAGTAAAAAAAATTTTAATTATAGTTTTCAAGCAATCTTATTTTCACATAGTATCTCACAATTCAGATCTTGGTAATAAACTGCAATATCCAAAATACACCATCACATTAATATTTCAACCAAGCAGTTTTTGAAATCAGTAAAATCAATCTCTTAGCCTTCCACTCAGACTCAAAACTGGCATCATATTCACCATAAAGAGAAAAGGTTTTGATTCATTTTCCAAAGGGTACCTTAGGTATTTCTTTAGTCAGCCTACTTGGTTATTTAACGTGTTTATTAAAGGATCAATGATAAAGAACATCAAAATGGTAGGAGGAGAGATATTCACATGTTTCATTCCTCTACTTTTGTTTCTCTAAGGACCGTCCTTCGTGTTTCTTGTAAATGTTATAATAGCAATTTTTAAATCAGGGCACTCGATTCAGCATGACTGTGAAAATACTGAGCTAAATTAATCAAGAAGTATTATAGTTTCATGACTTCCCTTACAGGATCAGGTTTACATAATGCTTATTCCTTCAAATCACTTTCACAATTAAGAAAACGTAGGTCTTAGAAAGTAAGCTACTGAAAACCAAAGAACAAAACTATCCCACCCATCTACCAACACATATAATAAAGCAGAATAAAAAGTAGATACTTCAAAGTGGCTTAGAATAATGATGTAGCCTCAACGTTCCTATAACATAACATACAGCCTGTCAGAAAATTTTAATGGTGATTTTTCTTTGCCTTTATTTGAAACTAATCTTCAAAACTACTTTCTACATATCAGCATATCCTGAAATATATTCTAAAACATGCTGATTCTATGGAACAATCAAGGGTTTTGCCCAGGAAAAAAAAAGCAGGAGTCCAAGTATTTCATGGCCAAATGGGAAACACTGGGTTGAACAGCATTCAACAGACTTCTTTACAGAAGTTCTCAATCCCTTGGCATGCTGTCACAGAGTGGATCTCCACCAGAGCTGCAGTGACAGAAGTGTCAACATTTCCCAAAATTAGCTGATTAAAGAACTCTTCTTTTAGGTCTGGCGTATCTGTCATATTTTAGGTTGATAGTAGAAGGGGAAAGAGTTCAATGGCCTAAGGTTAGAATCATTACACCCCAGCACCTTTCGGTTCTTCTCTTCTTCCTCCACATCCAAAATGCAAGGTAAGGGAAAAAAACTATTTATTCAGTTTAAGAAGCTACCCCTTATGGCCTAATTATTCTTTGTAGCAGTATAGGCAAAATAAACAGAATTTCATAATATGGACAAAGCAACAAAAGTTACTTTTTTGAAAAGTAACAAGTTTCTAAAAACTAAAACATGACCAGTTTCTAAAAATACAGTAATATACTAAGGAAAGTTTACCTGAACAAAGAAACAATGATTTTTCCAGATCATCCATTTTAAATGTGCATTAAAATAATTAGGTTAACCAATTAAATTAGGTTCAATATCACTCAATAAGTGTTTACCAAACCCTTACCCTATGGTGGGCACCCAAGTAGTATTTCATAAAGAGATTACTTCCCACCTCAAGGAGCTTAAAATAATGAAATTTTATAGCTTACAGTGTGTGTGTATCCATGTAAATAATATTAATGTAAAAAGGTAGAAAAACATATATGAATACCAACACACCATGGGAGAGGAAAGCCTCATTCTAAAAGGAGAATCTGCAGACCTGAGAAACAGACACGAGAAGCAAGGCGGGCAGTCGACTAACTCTATCTTCCAAGTTCCCAACCTTAATGACTTAAAAGTTGATAATCAAAAACTAACAAAAAAATTTTTTAAGGAGCGGCAGCAAGTTTGGATAAAGGAGAGAACAGACAAAATTCGGTTAATACCATAAGAAACAAGATTCTTGCCCAGATGTCACTGTTTAGTGTACCTGTACTTACCACAAACCAGATCTGGAATCAGACAAACCAGACTGAATGTCCCGGGACCAATCGTCAAATTGTTCTTGTTCATACAGTTTAAACTGGTCTAAGAGATCTTCAGCACTTCGATGGAAAGATCGAAATCCTGACAAGTCAGATAAAAGAGCCTCTGCAATCTTGATAGTATCATCCACCTTAAAAAGCCACAACACAAGAATATTACAAGAATATATTAATACTTACTACAAAATTGTCATAAAACGAACCACCTTCTCTGATGTGTAATTCAGAAATTACTTTCCCATTCACCTATAAACAGTAGGAGAGAAGATTTGCCAGCAAATGTGAGAAGATCAACCTCTACTTTGCTTCTGACTTGTACAACTCAGGATACCAAAACACAGATGTAAGGCATACGAGGCCTAATCAGGAGGGTGAGACGAGGGAGATTCAGGTGAGACCCCCACAAATTCAGCAATGCTTTTACACATGTGCAGCAATACATGTGTATTTTACACATGTCCTTTGCTTAGTGCTCTGGGGAAGAGCTCACACATACCTGCCAATCTGAAGGGCAATTAGAGGAAAGAAATGTCTTTCTTCCACAACTGTACACAGAACGTGATAGCACTTTGGAAAGCTGACTGACAAAACTGGACAGAATATTCCAGAAAACAGAACATCAAAAACACAACCTTGAATAAGTAGAACTCTCCAACATGCTAGCCTTTATAATACTCTATGTCTGCTTGCTCTTAATCACAGACCATAACCAATGAATAACCATTATGTGAGTCAGATGGAAGACATTATACATAAGAATCTTAGATCAATTTTGGTAATACCAAAATATTAAAATAGTAGCTGTTAAATCCATAAATTGCTGACCCTAATCTTACGCAATATCATAATTACATTTCACCTTTCCTTTAATTTCCTTTCAACCTAGAATGATTTACCTACATAAACATACTTGCCGATAGACTTTGCAACTACAAAGATTTTGCAGTGATAATCTCAAAGGATTAAAAAAATCATTTGAAAATATAGAAAAGATGATTTCCTCTTCAATATTTTCTTAAGAAGGCACTTTACGTGGAACAACTGCACCTGAATGATAAAGGATGTGCTAGTTATCTCTACATAAAAAATGAGCGGACCATTCAAACCTCCCCTGTACACTTTTTTAGAATTCTACACTTCACATGAAAATTAGATGGAAATGCCAAAGAAAGCAGAGACTTTTTTTTTCATTTTTTCACTAGAGTTCTAGAGTGCCTTCCATATTAATTTAGCAGATTTTACAATTAGTGTTCCTCAACATCTATTAAAACTAATACCTTCAGTTCCAACTGGCGAACCCAAACTATATTATTAACAACTTCCGAAAGGTTTTTGCCAGAAAGTGGTCCAGATGCTTCACCAGGAACTCCTCGGCATCGATTCTCAAAGTCTAACCGAAAATCTGTAAAAATTTAAGTCAAATAAATGATTATACACATTCAATCAAGATTCCTAAGTGCCTTCCGTGCACACCAAGTACTAAGTGAAAGGTTGTGGAAAGAAAAATTCTAAGACTTGGTCCTTTACCCTCAGGGACTTTACCATGCATCAAATGAGACAGAGAAAGAAAATAACTAGTTAATTTTTAAAATCTGTAATTTATAACAAATATAGTAAATTAATCTTCAGCATATAATGTTATAAAATATAGTTCTAATCCTAAATGGTATACAAGAAAAAGTAACCTACAAAAATATTTTCTCAAGCAAACACTATAATCTCTCATAAACTTTTACCTTTAACTGAGTCCACAAGTCTTGCCAGTAAAGTTTCTCTTTCTAACATCAATTCTTTACTTATAGTTGGACGCTTCACCAACTCTTTATATTTCAGAAATGCTTGAAGAAGCTAACATAAAATAAAAAAGTACATGTTCATCCTAAGTCGATCAACTTGGTAAATACATAAATATCTCCCAAAATAGCTTAAGGGAAATAGTAAAAGTAAAATATTTCAATATTTTACCTGCTGTGGACTATCCTGAATTTCTGAAATATAATTTTTCAATTTTCCTGCTATTTTTTGTTCCGCAGGTGCAATAATTTTTTCATATTGAGACACTGCAGCTTTCCATAAAGGCTAAACAAATTAATATTATTAGACTTTTAATATTTCCAATATTTACCTTTAAGAAGAACAATACAAACAGGAAGTTACAGAGACAAAAACATATATATTCGTACCTCAGTATATGGATTATACTGCACAGGATTCAGGCCAGTAAAAGGTTCAAATACTCGAGTCAGGCATATGATCTTCTCTTCACTGGCAGGTAAAAAATAAAGAAGCTTCTCATGAATTGTTCTAACAGCCAAAACCTAAAACATAAAATAGTAAAACAACAAATTTATTTAAATTGATAAATCTGCACAAATAGTTCTAGAGACTACATATATTTGGCAAGAGTTTCTTTAAACTAGGTTCACTGAAATGAATACAACAAACTGTAATCTTGAGAATTACTACTCATCAATAGTCAAAGTGGTGCTCAAAGACATCATTACATCATAACGCTACTATCAATTAATGTGTTCAAACCTGGTGAAAACACACAAAATCTAAATACGGTTAAACTATGTTTAAAGTTCATTTAAGTAACGTTTTAGAGTCCTTAATATAGTAAAAAGAACTTCTGATTTTCATTATTCTGCATTAAATTGTACCTCTGACAATGAAATAATATGCTAACAACCCTATTATGTATAAATTACAAATAGCTGGGAAACAAATTGTTGTAGTTTGTATTTAAAACTTCCACCAAGAGCGGCACCTGCCTGACACAGTTGGTAGAGCATGCGACCCTTAATATCAGGGTTGTGAGTTCAAGCCCCATGTTGGGTGTACAGCCTACTTTAAAAAAAAATGTGTATAGTTTAAATGAATAAAATGTGTGGTATTTCAATTTAAAAATAAATATATAAAATTTCCAACAATTAAAAGGCAATCAAAAAGGTTAAGTAAAAACACTATAACCTTTCATTTGAGATGGAAAGAGGAGTATATACTATTGATTTTTTTTCTTGCTAAAAACAAAAATACCAATGTAACAACCCTGTCTACTGAGAAGGCCTAAAAGCATTGATAACTAAGTTATCAATGACAATATTTTCCCAACCAGATTGTTGCTGCTAAATACCATTTTCACTAAAAAGAACAAGGCTCTTGAGAGAAATGACTAATTCCAGGAGTGAGGCAGAAAATGTCCAAGATGGGCTGGTATATTTTGGGGGGGCCTAAAAGTAAGGAAGTTGTCAAAGAAATACTGGATTCATGTCAAAATAACACAAGAGCCAACTTAAATGGGCATTCACTGCCCAAAGATGGAACAATTTGAGGATAATAATAACCATGATAGACTGAAACTCATAAAAACTCATGGCTTTGTAATAATACTAGCGAGAAAACACTCCATTAATTGCCTATGGAACTTACTATGAAACTAACTTATTATTCACTGTTCTAACAAGTGATAAATCAAAGAAAAAAGGTAATTGTGTCTACTGCCATTCAGAGTAACTAAAAAACTGATGACAAAAAGTTCTTCCGTCGTTACCAGTAATGCAGAAAGAACAACGGAACTGGAGAATCTATGTCACAACTGCTCAAGATCATCAGTGGCTGGTAAGTCACTTAGAAGAGCTGAAGGAAGAGCATCATAAGGAGAGCCAAGAGCAAACTGACCTCCCTGCCAGTGGGAAAACGAGGCTGTGTGCGTCCTGATGTATCGGGTAGGCATCACACAGCAGCACCCGTCAAGCAGCCGGATTCAAGTAAACTGACTAAAGATTTTCTGAAACAATCAGGACAACTGAACATTGGTTAAATACAAAATGATACTAGGAAAATATTGTCATTTTGTTGAGCGTGATGGTGGTATTGTGGTTGTTTTAAGGGTGTAAGTATACGGTTTCTTGGCTTGGCTTTAAAAATACTCCAAAAAAAGGGAAGGCAGGGAGACAAAGATGGAACAGAAACTGAGTAATGCCAGTGGCTGTTGAAATCAAGAGGTGGATACACGGGCATTTGTTACACTATTTCACTTTTGTGCATGTTTCAAATTTTTCATAATGAAAAAGGTTTTTAAAAAAATCCCCAAAGAACTATGAGCACGAAGGGGAAAAGTCAGCTTTGCAATCTTTGTATATTCTCATTTTGCTAGCCCCTCAAGCTAAATGCTTAAGTTCTACACTGAAACTTGTAACCTATGTAGATTAAACAGTTCTTCCATCAATATTTCCACTGAGTACTCCCTGAAAAGCTGTCCCTGCTTCATAACAATTTCAATAGCCAAGAGAATGTCTGAGAGCTTCTATACCTGGACAGGGAGCTGATTATCTTTTTCACAACAGAGAAGTACAGCTTACAAGGTGAGCAGCCACACACCAAAGAAAAAGCAAGCAGGTGGAAACCAGCAGCTAGTTGGGCACCAGTCACATGACTGCCAAAAATTATCTCACACGAACTTTAATTCTTATTCTCTCCCCAAAACATAAATAACTCCTATCAGATGTGTACTACTTACTAATTATAAAATATATTCACAAACAGGTGAGAACCCCCTCCATACTTATGTCAAAGACCCAAGTAATCAAATGATACCTCTTCGAGGCGTTTGCCAAGTTTGTCAAGTGTTTCAGGGAAGTATTTCTCATTTTTCCATGGATGAGGGACATAGCGCTGCCACGCCTGACCTGTTAGGTGATTACAGGCGGCCACCCACTGTTCACAAATTGAAATACCAGCTTTCAGATTGTCTTTCACGAGATGATAAGGATCTTCCCACAGATTCAAAGTTCCCAATTTTTTCTGAACAAATCTTCCAAATGAACCACCTAATAAAAGAGAAAGCAAATTTTTTTAATGGAACTGTGTTTTTACTGAATAATTACAGAATACACGCTTATGACAAAAATATACAAATTAGCAAACTAAGGATCTATGAAATACTGTATGCATATCCTTAGACTCAAAACAAGTATTTTTCAAAACACATGCACATAATTTCTTTGTATTTTCGCATCTTTCAAGGTATTATGTGCATCTCTCAAGTGCAAAAATACATATAATTTTTTCAAAAGTCTACACTACTGTATGGAGGTAACATTATATAACCAATTCTCAATCACTATTTGTCTCTACTCCTACATTACAAACAATGCTGCAATAACTATCCTTATACATATACCTTTATGCACTTGTCTAATATTTCCTGAGAATAATAAAGAGAATGGTATTTTCTAGGTCAAAAAGTATATGCACTTTAATACTAACAAGTAAACCAATACATACTAAAGACTTTTGAGACCATTACAAAATAAAGTTTAAATTAATACAGGTACAGGGACTAAAAATCTATGTAAATTTACTTGCATTAATGGTCAAAGAATTTGACACATGATTTAAATTAACCACCTATATACAAATTTATATTTAAATAATTCTGTATGATTTGCTCTAAGCATTACTCTAAGCAACAATTATTACATTAAGGAGCATTTTCAGTAAGGGCTTGAAGGAAAAACTAGAAAAACAAAGTAAGACAGGCTTCCAAAGTTTCAAAAGTTTGCTTCTTTAACAGTACCTATGATATCTAAGAGATGTAACATTCGTGACTCAGGATAGTGATCATGCTCTGTTTGTCTCCACACATCATCTACAACATCCCGAGTGGTCTCCACCAAGTCAACCACCTCCAATAAGGAGAGACCGTCCAAGTTATAAAATTCCTAAAACCAAAAGGCATTCATTTTTAAACATAATGATAACTATACTTTCGTCAATATAGTCAACTTGTTCCCAGACTTTTCAATTACTACAATTCTAACACCTGCGATATCATTTCCTCCTCCTTTTTCTACCAGACGATGTGTTACTTCTTTATGCAAATACCCTACAAGTTCCTTTACAAACATAAATATCAGGAAAGCCAGAAGAAAAAATAAGAATTGCAAAGTCTATTCATTTATGTTTGCCCTTGACCTAATTTTCTTCAAGTCTGGATTCATTTCTTGCAGCTCCTGAAAGGAGGCGGTTCTAACACCAGACAGACATTACCCACACTAGCTCCCATATGTCGTCACTCATGGACTGCACTGCATGTTACCCGTAATGCAATCACAGCTCAAGGTTTGTGATTTTACATTCCATCATGACAAAAAAAAGTTTAAAACCATTTCAAACTTTTCACTAAAATGATACTATTGAAATAATACTGGGAACAAATAAAAAATTACTATTTATTGTAAAAAGAATAGACTTTTTTGTAACCATATTTAAAGTGGTCACTTATTTAACCTCTAGGAATATTTCAAAGAATAATCAATCAAGTATAAAACTAAGACTTTTCATATTTGGGATTACTTCAAAATGCTAACTTGAATAAACTGAACATTCCTTTAAAAGAATGTATTACCTCCATGTAGATAAACCTCTCTTAGTACATTAGGCTTTTGCTTTTCCCTATGTACCTGCAGAAAAGCAATTATGTTTTTGAGAAAAATATTTACTAGAGATTAGAATCTAACTTTCTTAAAAGTTTCGGTTTTTAAGTTGTGTACATGTTAAATGCACACTTCAAGGAAACCCTGTTATGTATTAAGGATATATTTTGTTTACAACCATCAAATAATAATGTCAAAACAAAGGTAAATCTAGTGAAAACTGAATCCTAAAGTACTTTTATCAAAAGTCTGAAATATAACTATACAGGAATCACATACTCTTGCAACTGTTTCAAATAATTCTTTAAAATAACTGGCTCTTTCTTTATTAATCTGTTTATTTCCACGATGAGCTTGTTCTACCCAAAACTGGAACTCATCAGTTGGTGTTAGAATACCTGAAAAGGTGAGAAGGAAAAAAAGAAATATCAGTACAAAATGAAAAGCCAGAAAATTATCTGGTTCATTTGATTTTGCCTATTTCCTGTGCTCATGAAGATGTGCGGAAAATCAGCCTTATAATTTCTATCGACAGAAAGTTCTTCCTTAAATCCACTAAGAACAACTAACAGTACACCAAATGTATACTTCACAGGTTTGTCGCTCAGTATGTTTCCCATATGTTTTTGTACACCATCCATCTGTACACAGTCAGTCTACACCTTCTACCCGAAAGGCTGTTTCTCCAACACAAGGCTTTCCATCACGATTCATGTTTGGGAATACCATCCAAATTAGAAATAATGACAATTTAATCAATCAACGCCCACAATTTAATTTCAAAATATAAGCAAATTAAAATAATTTTACTTTTCAATTTGTTTTTATATTTCCCAATGAATTGGACAATTTCTAGTTGCTTAATCACATGCTGGAAAAGTGCACTATTCTTTCTGGGTCTATGGTATTCAAAAAGCATCTAATTTACTGTTCAAAAAAGTGTAAAACTGTATCCAATATTGTAAAATAATGATTAGTGTAGGTCATTCATTTCATATTAATTGTTCACATAAGTAATATTTATAGCTAGAATAAAATTATAATTGGCTTCAGATAAAATGCGTTTCTAAAATAAAAATCAATTATCTTTGCAAAGTAGACGATTAGGGTCAATCCTCCTTATTCATGGATGTGGATTTATGAATTCATCCATTTCCTAACATTTATTTGTATCTAAAATCAATGCTTGCAATGCTTTCATGGTCATCCACAGACATGCACAGAGCAATGAAAAATTGGGAGTTACCCTGCATATACGTTCCCAGGCTGAACAAGGTAACACGGCCTTCCTGTTTCCTATCTCCTACCATAAACAAGTATCCTTTCTGTAACCTATTCATTTGGATATTTTCCTCATTTTTTGTGCATTTTATTGGTAATTTCTCTGTTTAAGATGGCTCCCAAGCATAGTGCTGAAGTGCTGTCCAGTGTTGCCAAGGACAAGAACACTATGATGTGACCTCCACAGAGAGAATACTTGTGTCAGGGATGTTTCCTTCATGCATGAGTTACAGTGCTGCGGGCCATGAGGCCTATGTTAATTAATCAACAATCTATATCAAAAAATCAACAATCTATATTAAAAAAGTGTTAATTATATTAAAACAGAAACACACGTAAAATATATTAAAAACAGAAACATACATAAAATAGGGTTACATGTTGATAAGTCAATAAAAATGTTACAACCAGAGGCTCACAGGAACCTAACTTTGTTTTTCCCCTAGGACCAAGAGTTCAGTATTTACTAATTCAATATTCACAGTGAGTTTACAGAACATAACTACTGCAAATAATGAGAGACAACTATATTCTATGTCCATGAATTGCATATTGTTAAAGATTACATTTTCTTCCTCTCAAAATCCATGTAAATCTATTCATTTAAAAGGCTGAAGCTCAGAGAAGATCCAAAAGTGTGGAAATAAATCTGTGAAAAAATATATTAATTTACTAAGGTATTAATAAGAAAACTGTTTTGACTTTCTTTCATTAAGCTACGGTTCTATACCTCGTGTATCATCTTCCTTAAATTTCAATTTTGATGAGTTAATGTCTGATCTTCGTAGAACTATACCCAACCCAGTTTCTAGTTCACTCAAAAGATTCTGAAGTTTAGGATCAAAGTTTCTGCTCCATTCCTGATCCTAAAGAAAAACAGACAAGAGCAAACATTGATCAAAAGTTTTCCAATCAAACTGGCTTCCTTAAAATACTGTTGAGAGAAATAAGTCAAAATACATCTGTTTCACTCAAAGCCTGCCACTGCCTCTGTCTCATAAGGGAGGAAAAAAAGGCCTTTCAACAGTTAAAACTTTATAAAATAATTTATTATATAGCAACTTAAGAGCTGATGTGGATTACATTTATCTCTTTCTCCCATTTCTCTATTTGTCCACAAAGCTGACTTTAATTTTTTTTACAATTTTTATAACATTTAAAAACTAAAATACTAATGATATTAACAGCAAATAAAATATTTCTTTGTTTATAAAGACATTTATACAAATACCTAGCTTTAAAAAAAACGACCATACAGCTCCTTTAATTTACGTACCTTTAACAACATTGGTGCAAATATTTGCCGTACTGCTTGGTAAAGAGAATTTATAGGTGATTCTAACATAGATGAAACAAGAATGTTATTATGTAGATTCTGATCAGTAATTACTTCAGGTCGCAGCTTGAAAAACACCAGCACTTTATCTTTTGTGTCAGCAAAATCAATCTAAGTGATAAACAAATGATTTTTATGTTACTTTCATGAAACTATTTGAAAGAAATGTTCCCCTAAAACTGTTCTATTACTGTATTTTTTATCCCTTGGAAAAAACAGTTACTTTAAAATAATCACAGTATATTACAACCAATCTATCTCTGCTCTTTAAGAGCATCTGGGTTTTAAAATGTATCCCCACTTATAAGTGACTGCATCCTAAAGCTACTGTGACAAGTGGCTTATAAACAGAAAGTACTATATAAATATTGTGGACATATACTGCTAACTACTCCACTCCAACCAGATTCAGTAATACTACAGATCAAAGTTGTGTGCCCCAGGTACAAACTGATGAGTAGTACATGTCGCCACTCTATTCCAAAAAGTCTAAATCAAGGATGTTGATTACCCTCTTACCTGAAACTAGCATTTTAAAAGGTGTTTAAGTCATATTTAAACTCAAAGCTACCAAAACAGATTTAAGTTGTCTATCTCCTAGGTTTATCTTTATCTGAATAAAAAAATTTTTCCTTAAAGTATCTGACCATCAAACTTTTTAAGTTGTATAACTAGAATATTTAAAATTGGAACTGGATGAGCTAAATTGGAAGTCACTAAAGCAACCATGTGTAAAATAGGTCAGTTCACAGTAATTAGTTCATTAGCTGAAAAGTGTATTACCCAAAAGAAGTTTTTGCATTATGTATGCATTTTCACAGTTGCTCTCATTTCTTTTTCCAGAAAGAGAAGTATATGTATTAAAGAGCTTTCAAACAAGTTCACTGCTGTGCATGAAAAGCCCTTATAGATGAGTGAGATTTCATGCTACTTTTCTTTTACCCTAATCATTATATTTTTTAGGCACAAGGAGGGAACTGGCATTTACTCAAACTCTGCATTTCTCAAAATCTCATTTGCATACACTAAAATTCTATTGCTAGTATGATCATTTTATTCCAATTACAAGCGAGAACAACAAGCTACAGATACGTAGATTTGAAAAATTCACTCTTTAGTTGTTAAATAGTACACACCCCTGTACTCTCTTTCTCCCACCTACCTGAGAAAGAAAATTCAGAAAATATACATTTTATCATTTGAAAACAGTAACCACAGTCACTGTCAAAGGCTCCCTGGCCATCAGTCAAGATGATGAGTTTTGTCCTAAGCAAAGTCAGCTAAAGCAAAGGATCAGTTGACTACAGCTGCTCCTCATTCCCAAAAAAAGGAAAACAGAACCAGCACTCCCAGCTGCCTCTCCTGCCAGTTTCCCTATCAGTGGCAACTACGATTTTCCCTTAACTGACGCAATTTTGATAGCTATTAATTCAGAGTACAAAGATTTTATTTTTTGAGGCTGTAAAATAACTCTACCACCTACTGGGATCCATCAGGCATCAGCCTACCACAACCTGCTGCCTGTTTTTGTACAGCCCACAAGCTAGGTTTTTAAAAAATGAAGAGGGGCGCCTGGCTGGCTCAGTTGAGAGAGCTTGCTATTCTTGATCTGGGGGTTGTGGGTTCGAACCCCACATTGGGTGTAGAGATTACTTAAAAATAAAATCTTAAAAAAAAAATCAAAACAACAACATTTCATGACAAATAAAAATTACAAGAAATTCAATTATCAGTGCCCATAAATAAAGTTTTATTAGAACACAGTCATATTCATTTAAACATTATGTAGGACTGCTTCCATAATACAACAGCAGAGCTGTAACTTCAACAGAGACCTTACCGCCTACAAAGCCTAAAATATGTATTATCTGGCTCATCACAGAAAAAGTTTGCCAACCTCTTTCCTAAAGCATAAACCAGATCGCATCTGTCTTGTTTAAGATTACCAATGGACTTTCTGTTTCAACCTAAATGGTGTCCAAGGTTCTAAATGATCAGCCCATGTTGTCATCTTCCATGCTCTCCAGTCATCCATTAAACTTCTGCAATCACTGAATTTTTTTTGCCTGGCCCTTGAAATCTAGGTGAGACCAGCTCAGGGCCTTGGTACTTATCTTCCGCTTAGAACACTCTTCCTCTAAATCTTGTCTGCCTACAGCTCATCAACCAAATCTCACTTCAAAGCTCACTAATCCAGACAGGTAGCCCCTCCCCCTCCATTTTAATGCACTTCCCCAACCCACCCCCATCAGTACTTTAACATTACTCTATTTTGATTTTTTTTTTTTTAAGATTTTTATTTAAGAGAGAGAGAGCACAAGCAGGGGGAGCAGCAGAGGGAGAGGCAGACTCCCTACTGAGCAGGGAGCCCGATGCAGGACTTGATCCCAGGACCCTGGGATCATGACCTGAGCCGAAGTCAGTCACCCAACAGACTGAGACACCCAGACACCCTTCTATTTGGATCTTAACCGCACTTATCAATGCCCAAAATTATGTTACATTTATGTATCTGCATGCACATGTGTAGCCAATCTCTGTGCACTCAAATGCTATTCCTTGAAGACAATTTCTGCCATATTCATGGCTTGATTCCAAGCACCCTGTACAGGGCCAGGCCCATCGTAAGTACTCAATATTTATTAACTTACTGAATCATGTTGACTGTCAGACATCCACAGTACAACGTAAGACACAACAAAACATTCCAAGCCTAACTGCAAGTCTGTAGTGTGGTATATGACTAAATATATAATATGTTGCTGGGCTCTAGTACCAACAGCATTAACTTGAAAGAGTTGTTGCTTCAGGACACCTGAAGCATCGGTTAAGTCAGGTGGCTCAGCCGGTTAAGCATCTGCCTTTGGCTCAAGTGATGATCTCAGGGTTCTGGGACTGAGCCCCACACTGGGATCCCTCCTCAGTGGGGAGTCTCCGGCTCCCTCTGCCCTCTACCCTGTTCTCGTGCTCTGTCAAAAAAAAAAGTTAGCACTTCCATTTTCAGTACCCAACCCAAGATACATTTTCAGCAATCCAAACCCTTCCTCATCTTGTGTTCCCTGGACTACACTCTGTTTAAACTTGCAGCAGCATTTACAAGTGTACCTTGATTTTGTAGTTTGTTGAGTGGTGTAGGTCACCTCAGGCCACCGGAGGCGGCTCTGGAAGGCAGAGGCAGAGACCCCATTCTGAATCCTACCACAGTTAGAGCAGTGGAGTGGTTACCACTTGGGATGGGACCTTTGTGCCTTACTTCCTTTTGTCATAAAATGGAAATAAAGACAATCCCTCTCTACAGCGTTGCGGGGAATGATGAATGAGCCCATGCGCGTAAGGGGCGTATAGCAGCCCTGACAGAGTGTCTTCGAAACGCATGGAGCCTAGCAAAGTGCCCTGCATGTGCTGAGCTCAAAATCAAAGTTTACTGAAGAGAATCAAATTACAGCCAAGACTAGATTCCTACTGAATGGGGTGAATGACTCAATCATGGAACAAAAATGCACCCAAGGTTTGCTGTGCGTGAAGACTCTGTTGGACCTCCGGACACCGGCCAACAGAAGAGGCAGAGGTTTTAGAGTTGGTCTTTCCTGCGTGTACTGAACCCTGCAATGCCTGAGGCCGTCCTTCCGTGGATCACCCTCAGGGTTCCCTCCGCAGCCGGGCTGGAAACGGAACCGTTTCTCAACAATCCGGCGGGTGCAGGCAGCAGCGCCGAGCGTCGCTGAGTCAATCACATACTGCCCCTCCAGAAGGACTCGAACTCTGTACTCCAGCATTTCCTAAAAGATCTGAATTCCTAACCAACCTTCCCCTCGAGTCCATTTAAGCTCAGCGCATACCCCAAAAAAGAGGGAGGAGAAAAACTTGTTTGGTAAGTAAGATAGAGGTCTTCTTTTTAGTTGTAGTGTTTAAGGGCGATGCAAAACGAGGAGAGCACAGAAGTGCTCTGCTCAGGTGCGCGGGTGCAGATCAGCACAGCGGGGGGTGTACCCGGGGGAGGGGGCCCACACCCGGGGGGGGCTGGGGGATGAGGGAGGACCGGCTACGGAGGAGGCCCGAGGGGGAAGGACCCCCGAAGAGGAGGACAGGAGGAGGGGAGGACCGGGTGGGGCCCGCTGGGGGGGGTCCCCTGGGGGAGGCTGACAGGTGACTGAGGGGGTCCCTGAGGGGAGCCGGGCAGGGCCCGCTCCGGGGGGTGGTCCCCCGCGGGGAGGCCTGGGGGGGTCTGGCTCCGGGGGGAGCCCGAGTGGGGGGTCCCCGAGGGGAGCCGGGCACGGCCCGCTCCGGGGGTGGTCCCCAGCGGGGAGGCCTGGGGGGTCTGGCTCCGGGGGGTGCCCGAGTGGGGGGTCCCTGAGGGGGGCCGGGCAGGGCCCGCTCCGGGGGGTGGTCCCAGCGGGGAGGCCTGGGGGGTCTGGCTCCGGGGGGAGCCCGAGCGGCGGG